GGTACATTGAGAGGAAAATACATAAAGATTTTTGATTTAAAATGTACAATTCAATATGAATGGTATAGGTAATGATTGTGGAAGAAACGCATGAAATGTATTTGTAACCAATCGACATGCTTTCTACAAGATGTAATGAAGGATGATTCTTTTTTTGTGTTTTTGTTTAATTAAAACAATAAAAAAAACTTTTCAAAAAAAATCTAATAATTGTTTTATTGGTTCCATAAACCTGACTCAACTAGTAAGTATGAAAAGTAAGTATGTTTAACTCATAAGTGATCTCAGTCCCTTTTATACACATTAGTAGCTGCTAATTAACAAGGAGCTGTGGTGGTACAGTGATTAGAATGCAGTATTGGAGGCTAACTCTGCTCACTGCCAGGAGTTCAATCCTGACCAATTCAAGGTTGACTCAGCCTTCCATCCTTCTGAGGTTGTAAAATGAGGAGCCAATATGCTAACTCTGTATACTGCTTAGAAAGTGTTGTAAAATACTATGAAGCAGTATATGAGGCTAAGTGCTATTGCTATTATGCCTTTGTTTTCCTGAGTTAATATTTCTGATGGTTGTTTTTTTTTCTCTTTTTCTTACTGTATTCTTTATAGGTTAAACCAAAGTTTGCGGCACAATGCATTGGGTTTCTGTTTTGATCCTAGTTGGCATCTGTGGAATATCCTTGAGCCAATATGATGATCAGTACGAGGACATATTCTGGTTACAGCAATATTTACGCAGCCAATCTTCCTACAGCTACTCACCATATTATGAAGATGAGAGTCCCCCATATTCTTTTTATTCTTCTGAGCCAGTTGGATCCTATGTCGGAGAGCCTGTGCCTGAACCACCTGTTTCTAGGGAGTGCCCCCAAGAATGTGAATGCCCCCCTCATTTCTCTTCTGCCTTGTATTGTGATACTCGCAATCTTAAGTATCTTCCATTTGTGCCTTCTCGGATGAAATATGCCTACTTCCAGAATAACCAAATTGTGGCAATCCAAGAGGGAGCTTTTGACAATGCAACCAACCTCGAGTGGTTAGCACTGCATGGCAATCAAATAACCAGTGAGAAATTAGGCAAGAGGGTCTTTGCCAAGCTCAAGAATCTAGAAAGGCTGTACCTTGACCATAACAACCTGACCAAAATGCCTCACCCCTTGCCGCCATCACTGAGAGAACTTCACCTGGCTTATAATCAGATCTCCAAGATCCCATCCAATGCCCTAGAAGGCTTAGACAACCTCACTGCCTTGTATCTCAGCCACAACCGTATCCAAGAAATGGGATCAAATCTCAAGTGGTTAAACTCTCTGATCCTTGCAGATTTCAGCTACAACCAGCTCACAAAAGTCCCTGGTGGGCTTCCAAGCACCTTAGAACAACTCTATTTGGAGCACAATCACATAAATGCAGTCCCTGATGATTACTTCAAGGTCTCCCCTAAATTGCTATATGTACGAATGTCTCACAACATCCTGACAAATGAAGATCTCTCCCCAAATGCTTTCAATACAAGCAGCATTCTGGAACTTGACCTCTCTTATAACCAGCTTCAGAAGATCCCGCGAGTCAGTACAAGCCTTGAAAATCTTTATCTTCAAGGGAACAAAATAAATGGTGAGCTTTCATGTTCTGAACAGTGAGCTATTATGGGCTGGCATTGAAGCAGGATAGACTGGGTGGATAAGCTGTTTTGAAATGACAACAACTATAGGTAAAAGGATGTCAGCTGCTTTCTTGGATGCAATGTTCAAAAAATCACTGTACAATTATCCCATCTCTGCCTCCTTAATGGCCTTTCCTTGATAAAATCAAAGATAGAAGAAGTACTAGGAAAACTTCTAGGGAGATTTACAAATGAAAGAGAGACTGAGGGGTTACAAGACAGAGGTGCAGTTTAATTTTGACATGAGATAAGACTTGCTATCTGAGCAATTGAAATATGTCTCAGTTGTTCCTTGTTAAGGAAATGAATAGAGAAGGAAGGTTACTCCCAAACTTACAGCTGGGAGAAAATGGTGTCTGAAGCCTGATGCTTTGTTCCTGAGAACTCACAGAATTCTCACAAAACAGCCTGAAGAGCAGACAGAAAGAGAGAGAGAGAGATTGGCTGCTGGTTATGAACATAGAGGGGGCATCCAGCAAAGCTCCTGGAAGTCCTTGAAAGCTGATCGTTAATTTGACTTTCTCCTCTCTTGGAAGTTTTTCTTTCCCATATGATAAAGAGGAAGAAAAGGGGGCAGTTCTCTCATACTTAGCCAGAAAGTACATCAAACAACCAGGAATCATTTGGGGGCTGGCTGTGTGTGTATTTTAGAATGGAATAGAATTCTTTATTGGCCAAGTGTGATTGGACACACAAGGAATTTGTCTTTGGTGCATATGCTCTCAGTGTACATAAAAGAAAAGATACATTCATCAAGAATCAAAAGGTACAACACTTAATGATAATCATATTAGGAAACAAAATAAATTGTAAGATATGATCAACAAAGTTACAATCATACAGTCATAAGTGGGAGGAGATGGATGATAGGAACGATGAGAAGATTAGTAGTAGTGCAGATTAGTAAATAGTTTGACAGTGTTTAGGGAGTTATTTGTTTAGCAGAGTGATGGCATTCTTGTCACACAACTGCTCTTTCTCTCTTTTTCCTTGGGGAGGGGGAAACATTTTCTCTTTGATTAGTTCCTGTTTTGGTCAAAGCACAAAATGACAGTACAGGAAATTGAAACCAGAAAGCAACGGGTCAGTTCCTCTCTTGGTTTTTCACTTTAGGGAATATTCTATGTTCTCCAAAGTCCATAACAGATAGTTCTCAACTTACAACCATTCATTTAGTGATTATTCACTGCACAGATGATGTTGCCTAATTTAGTAATGCAATGTCTGCAAGAAAACAACGAAGTTCAGAGATTCATGTGTTTGGTTATTGGCGTGTATTAAGGAAGGTTGCAGTGTCCTTGGGTCATGTGATCACCATTTG